CCTCCCAGCTTGGTGTCATCTGCAAACTTACTGGGAGTGCACTCAATCCCTTGATCAGTTCATCAACAAAGATATTAAACAGAGCAGGCCCTAATTCTGACCCCTAGGGAACACCACTCATGACCGGTTGCCAGCTGGATTTAGCTCCATTCTCGACTGCTCTCTGGGCCCAGTCCTCCAGCCTGTTCTTTACCTAGCAAAGAGCGTACCTGTCCAAGTCACAGTGCCAGCTTCTGCAGGAGAATACTGTGGGAGGTGATGTCTAAGGCTTTGCTGAAATCTTGGTAGAGTACGTCAACAGCCTTTCCCTCATCCACCAGATATGTCACTTGATCAAAGGAGATCAGTAGTGGATAAGGGAAGAGCAACTGACATAATTTACTTGCATTTGATGCTGTCTCATGTGACATCCTTGTCCTTGTCTCTGAATTGATGTGGATTTGATGGATGAACTACTTGGTGGATAAGAAATCAACTGGGTAGTCACACTTCCACTGTGTGTTGCACTCAGTGTTGTAGTGAACTAGTGACAAGTGTTCTTCAGTGGTTGATACTGGCACTGTTTAGCATCTTTGTCAGTGATATGAACAGTGGGATTAACTGCAAGGGGTAACTTTGTGGACAACACCAAGCTGTGTGGTGTGGTTGACATACTGGAGGGAAGGGAAGACATTCGAAAGGACCTCGATAGGCTTGAGAGGTAGTCCTGTCTGAACCTTATGATGTTCAACAAGGCCGAGTGCAAGGTCTTAAGCTGGAGCAATCCTGAGCACAAATTGCCTGACTGGGTACAGAGAAGGACTTGGGATATTGGCGGACAAAAAAAACAGAACGTGGGCTGCAACATGCATTTGCAGTCTGGAAAGCTGTCTGTATCCTGGGCATCAAAAGATGAGCGGCCAGCAGAGTAGGGGGGAGATGATTATCCCTCCCTGTTCCACTCTCATGAGAACCCATGTTCTGTACTGTGTTTAGCTCTGGAGCCACTAGCACAAGAAAGATGTGGAGAGCATCCAAAAGAGTTCACAAGGGTGATCGGAGAACTGGAGCACCTCTCCTATAAAGACAGCTTGAGGGAGCTGTGGTTTTTCAGCCTGGAAGGCCGCATTGTGGCCTTCTAGTACATGACAGGTATCTACAGGAAAGCTTGAGAAGGACCCTACAAGGAAGAATAGTGATAGGACAAGGATTGGCTTTAAACTAAAAGAGGGTAGATTTAGATTTAAAGAGAAAATTTGTCACTTTTGAGGAAGGTGAGGAACTGGAACAGACTACCCAGAGAAGCTAGGCAACTTCATCTAGTGGATGATGCCCCTATGTATGGCAGGGAGGTTTAAACAAGATGCTTTTTAAATCTCTCCCAGCCCAAATTTTTCTTTGGCCACTCCTAGAAGGATTGAGTCTTACTGACTTTTTTGTGGCCTTTTCTATTCATCTGAATGTAATGAGTATGGCAAGGAACTGCCAGGTGAACCTTGTGCTGTATTCCATCTGCTGTCAGCTCAGCTTACTGAGCCTTTCTCTTGAATGTTTCAGTATATTTTTTCAGGGCAAATACATATCTGTTAATCATTTAAGAAACTTTGCGGCTCTCAGTGCGCATAGCTACAAGACTGAATCTTCCATTGATTTAGAAAATGTTATGCTTTTAACACAGCTGCAAGGCAGGAAGCCAAGTGTGGGATGGCAGTGCTAGTGTATCTCTTACTGATACAGATGACAGCTAGAAATACTGGCTTTTAATAGTGGTAATCATTCTACTTAAGTGGGTCCATGTTTTCATATGAACTAGTGTCCTAAAACCAGATCCAACCAACCAAAAGCCCCCAGACAAGAAAACTGCAGGAGAATGATGCATCAAAACACCATTAGCAGTCCATCCTTCTTTCTCTTTTTTGGAAATTATCTGTTATGAAGTGTTGTGAGCTCTGTGTGCTTTTAAAGATCCCCCAAGGAGCAGAAGGAGATGTGAGTTCTAGTAAATTCTCTTATTTTCAAATGAATAGGACCTACAAACTCAAAGCAGGATTATTCTTTGCCCTTCTCTCCTTGGTCCTCTGTTGCTACAGGTAACAGCAACAGTTCTTTCCCTGGAACAGCTGACAGAGATGTTTGACTGTAATGCTAGCTGATGGATATAGTGAATGCTGATGTTGGCCACTCTGTGGGAATTGTTAGAATCGGAATTAGAGTGGTTCAGTAGGAAGGCACCTACAGTGAGTTTAGTTTAGTCATCTTGAATACAGATTGTAAATGGGACTGAAAGCTAAATAGGTGCCCCAAAGCTACTCCATTTTTTGTCTGTTTTTGCAGTGATACTGCATAGCCTTCTTTTCTTCCGTTGAAGTTGAGAGAAAATGCCCATTCTCTTCATTACTCTCTCCGTTAAGTGATATTTTACCTTAGAAAAGTGTGATAGGAGTGAAAAGTGATTGAAAGAATAAGAGTGTGTATATGGAGAACCTGTCTTTTGAGCAGTAAATTTGCTGAGATATCCTGGGAATACTGAGGATTCTTTTTACCCATGTAATTTTGTCATTATGTAGGTAACTCCTTCAGGGAAAGTGGTGCAAGGAGGGAGCCAAATATTTGACACTTGAAAGTAGTATGAAAAGTACAGTTGGTGAAACCACCGTGGAAAGTTCTTCAAGCAACTGTATTTTTAAAAAGACTGAATGTGTTGGTTCCATAACAATCTGAATTATTTTTCAGATAGGTCTCTATTAGCTAATAATTTCCTGCATATTTCCTGATAGTTGTGTTGGAAATGCAGTCAAATAACTTTTGTACACTGACAGTCTTTTTGTATTTGTGTTGTTATATTAATCAGAAGAAACTCTTTTTGAAGTGCATGGTATTTTAAACTCCTTATTAGTGAGTATTTGGAGGTGCCTTGTGCATAATAAAGCTGTGTATTTCTGGTTTCAGTTGAGTATAATCGCAACCCATCTTGTTGAAACAAATTCCTGTTAGGCAGCTGCATCCTCAAGTAATGGTATAATTTAGTCTAAGCTGTGCTGTACTTCCGTTTTCTGGAAACAAAAGGAGCTGGTGCCATATGAAAGTATAACGAAGTGTTCTTGAACTATTGTCTAACTTGACTTGGTCAGGAAGATCTGGTTTTGTGAATTTGAATAAACTGCTCGTTTCCTTCTTTTAACTCTTATAGGAGCGTTGTAGAGTGGGGGTGTCTAGAGTGCCTAAATGTTAAAAAGACTGCCTAAAAAGTAAGTGCATTGACCTTAATTCTAGAGAATTACTAATTAACTAGAGAAAAAGAGTTGCAGGAAATCGTGATGATCTTGATTAATATTAAGGTAACTGTACTGTTTCTTTCTGTAGACTCATTGGAAATGGGGTGGGCAGACTGTTGGTCGGACTCTGCACTTGGTCACAACCCGTGGTTCTGGTTTAACCACAGTGAGCTGAAGTAGGAATATCTTAGGTGTGAGAGCTGAGAGAATGGCAGTGGAGAAGGGGAAGAGAAAGGAGCAATAGCATTTTAAGTTAGGCCTTAAGAGTAAGAAATGTGATCCTGAAGCTGTGCCTTCTTACAAATACTAGTCAAAAAAGAGGGCATTTGAGCTTCTCTACAAGCTGATCTACTTTCTTCAGAATATGGTGACTTTTTTTTCTGTGAGAGATAAAAATTGATGTCAAGATAAATTTAGGATGTCAGTAATATTGAAGTGAAATAATTGCCCAAGGAAGTGGAGCAGAGTTAAGAATTGAATGAAAATATTGGCTTAGTTTACAAAACTATATTGTTGGATAAATGGATGGGGATTCTAAATTTGGGATGAATTTCACTTTGAATTGAATTGTCTCTCAGAGGTGTTTTTTGTAGGTAAATACAGCCACTGAGGTTTGCATATTTGTGTTTGTAACTTGTTAGTGTTGAAAAGAAGCAAAACTAAAACCAAAATACCTCTTTCAACCCGAAGGACATCATTCATCAGTTCACACTGTTTTGGGAGGAGTTTAGCATAAAATCATGTACTAAAACTACATGAGGAAGCTGTGTTACTTGAACCTTAAGAATTATCAAAACAGTCAACTAAGTTGCTTACAAAATTAATTGCTCTTTGACTGAAGAGTTGTGCAACAGTGGTCCTGATAAGTCACTGCCTCTTTCTTTGGGAGTGTGCATCTGCTGAGCAGTATCTCTGAGTAATGGTAAAACACGAGATTGTGTTGGTATACAAAAGCAAAAGTGAAGCACGACTTGAGTTCATATTACAGTTAAGTCTGGAGATGGATGATACCAACCACTAAGTGCTGTCTGATCTTGAATTGCGAGGCCACAGGATGCTTCTGCAAACCTCATAGGACAGGGAAGATCCCCTGCTCCATACTCTTGTGTCATCAAAAAGAGTGAAGAGGCCACACAGAAGGCAAAGCCAATGAGTGCTGGCTGACTGCTCCTCCTGGCTGCACAGCTGAGGTTTACTCAAGTGACTTCATTCAAGATGTGTAAAGGTTTTGTTGCACTGTCTTCTCAGTGTTTTCTTGGCAATTGGTGATCAACATCTAAAGTGCCGGAGGGTTTCAAAGAGGGTGGAATGAACTGACAGAGCACATGTGTGTGAGACAGGAATGAACTAACTGGCTTGAATGAATGAAGGGACTGAGGGAGCCTCCCACCACCCTCAGAAATCAGCTTTTCTACTTGGGGCATTGGTCCTAAGGTGTGTATTTGACTAGAGGCTTGGCTGTTGATAGTACCTGAATAAGTGATACTAGTATCAAAAAACAAAAGCAAAACAACTTTATACTTCTAAAAGAAAGAAATCTTACAATGAATATTTTCCAGTTATGGAGTCCTTTATTTTATAAGTGCTGTAAAAAGCTTGGACTGTTTCACACAGTCATTTTAGAAAGGCACGTTCTCTTTTGTGTTTGATTCATAACCGTAAGGCATTTAAACAGATCCACCTTCTTTTTTTTTTTTTCCCCAGAGGAATACAACGTGCTTGGGGGCTGGCCTTTGTCTGTCATGCATTCCCACCATGACAGATTTAGCAAACTGCAGCTGAGAAGTTAGACTAGTTCATACTTTCTCCTGCTTGTGTTGGGAGAAAGCTATTGTTTTCACTGGATCACTGGCATGTTAATTATTTTGATGCCAAAACGCAAACAGTTTTGCTGCTCTTTGTATTTCCAATCAAAGAATGCAGGCAAGGACAATCAGAAATCCTAAAAAAGACCTTATTATAGAGTCTCCACAGCAGCGCAAGGATGCAGGTCTTTGTGAAGCAGAAGCGGACAGTCCTGTGGTAGTACTGGTAAGAGTTGTTTGAATAAGCTGTCTATACCCTCTAGTAATTTCAGTTCTGTCTGTAAAGCTGCTTAATTTGCTGCCGATGAGAAGTTCCAAAGAGCGCTTACTTGTGTAGGTGTATTTCAGTCTTGTATTCTGTTCTTTGTGCATTGCTTGCCTTTCTAATTAATTTTTACAGTTCTGGTTCAAAACTGGTTCCCTCTGAGTGTGGTGTTGGACTTCTATTTTCTTACTAGCTGCTTTTCAGTGTCTGTTCCATCTAGTGTAGCTGTATAGTACTTCAAACCTAGTGTGAATGCTATTTGCCTTTCAAAATCCATTCTTGCAATTGAAGTATACCTGAACTCTCTCAAGATGGTGTGTGTAATGGTTAAATTTTATTTAAATTTTCCAAGATCTGTCTAAATTGAGGTGTATTTAAGCTAAGGGTGTGTTTCTCCGTGTCTTCAATGCTTGCTGTTTGGGAATTAAAAGTTTTAAAGTAACTTCAAGTGAGGCAGAAAGGGATATTCCTGTATTTAAAGGAGATAATCAAATGAAATCTGTCTGTCTATCTATCTGTCTATCTATCTGTCTATCTATCTGTCTATCTATCTGTCTATCTATCTGTCTAT